CTTTGCGCTGTTCCCGGTTCCATAAAACATTCTCAACTTCAAGGAGATTTGAAGCATCAACACCTACGTCCCATTGCGGTTCAGGCTGAATATCTGACGACTGAAGGGTTGACTAGAGCCATTTGAATTGACCTTTAAAGAGTTGTAACCAACGTTTTAGTCGCCTGTCCTGTGAGGTTATTGGCGTCCCATCCTTTACGGTGACACTTTCACTCGCCATCGTCTACTTCTTGACCGCATTCCAAAGAGCCCAAATAGTTGCCGTGTTAACCGAAACTGAAGTCTTCTCCCACTCTCTCGCTTTGGCCACCCGCTATTGTTCGCAGTCAACGTGAAGACTCTGGGTCAACTTATGTTTGAGTTGCTCTCGTTTTCACCAGCTGGAAACAGTCTTCAAGCATCAATCAGTTCGGATGAGGTTCTGGAAATTCAGTAACCTTTGCTAACCTTTGGGTGTAGGTTACCAACTCTCTTTACCTCTGTTTCTATGCCAGACTCAATATCACGCCAGGTTTCCTCAGCTTCAGCACTGTTGTCACGTTCACATAAATACTTCACTATCTCCTCCCTAAATATGTTCGCATCTGCCAATCAACCATTGACAGGTTTTACTATCGCCTGTTTCCTGCAACTAGTAAGGTGCAAATTTACACAAGCCCGTAAAAGAGTGAGATCAGGGTCCAGACTGGTACTCCAGGAAGAGCGGCAATCCTTCACCAATCCTATCCAATGACAGCTCATAACAATGTAATATATCCATCTCCATCGCTGGTTTGAAGTCGGCAGACGCCATATGAGATAGTGTCTCCCAACATCCTTGAACTTATTGATGATCAGAAACAAGTGGTTTTCATAACAAAACTGCAACAGAAAATCACCCCTGTCGGTTCGTTGGCATGGAGTTCCGTAGACACCTCACACATGAATTTCCGATTGGCTCAGCTTCTCTATATCAGCGTCGAAGTCATACGCTATTATGACCACATCTGAACGTTTTGCTTTCTGTAGCAGAATCGGTAGCTTCTCATACAACTCATCCTTCTCATCATCCGAACTGCAGTCAGTGAATGCGTAGGTGGGGATTACGAATAGGTATCGGCTGGTACCATGGTCCCTTCTAGTTCTTACAAATCCATGCAGTCAAACAATACACAAATGGCTGTTGACAGAGATCAAGTTGAGAAGTGTGCTTTCTGCTCTACAACTCGATTATATACCTACACCAGCGAGTCCACGAGAGCTACCCCTTGGGTCTCCGGATACTCTTAAGGTGAATTTTGAAGATCCACTACTACGACCAGATGAGACCGATCTAATAACCATACTCGACTCCTGTATATGTGTCTCAGAGATACAGCATGCATTCATGACTAGAGATCAAAGAGGTCTCACCAGTGATCCTCGCTGTCCAATTCGGCATAGAGTTCGGATGTTGAAACTTCCAACATGAAACCAACATCGGGGTCTTAGGAGACTACGAATGAGGTTCCAATGCCTTCAGTCGTTGACAATGGTTGCAGAGTCAGAGGTTGGATAAGATGTAGGAAGCTTAATGTTAGTCCCAGGAGGTGAAGGAAAAGGAGGATGAGTTATGTTTCATTGTGTCTTTTATCCTACTGGAACCGTCCAGGTGGTTGACTCCTCCTGGCTGTCCACAATATCGAAGGCTATTTCTTCTTAAGGTACCTACCTGGAAGGGAAGGTGATTTTTGTGACCGTTCCGCCAATGGGACATCTGCTTGACGCCTGTCGCACTAAGCCTTTTCAGGATTGTTGTTATGAGACTTCGTTGACGGAATGTTAGATATGCAAAACTTATACCACCGTCACCGAACGACTATGTGGCACAGAGAAATGGGCTACTTTTTAAAGACGGCCTTTTGTACCAACATCAATACGTTACTGCTGGTCGTGCAAAGGAAACAACTTGCTGATGTCACAACCCATGCAACCAGCAGTATGACTTCTCCCTTGGACCACCATAACAGTGTGACCACTTACACTACAATTTTAACTGCTTTTCGTCTTACTCGTAACCGACCGACTTTTCTCGTAAGCTAGAAACGTTGGGGAAAACAAACGCTTCAGCCATTGCAGCTCGATAGGACATTGTGCTACGCAAGCCCGAACACCACGTCGAAGGTTATCTAAGCATGGCTGTAGCAGGCCACCGCCGTTACCTGTTTGTTAGCCTGAGGTTTCGAAAATACCACCCTAGTGCCTTTCTGTCTGACTAAGCCCACCCACCTGTGCTGTAGAACCACCTGCAACTACTATCAAGTCTGGACGTTTGACTTTTACCAAAGATTCTTCAGTAGAACTCATCCTTCACTTCATCCAAACTGCAGTCGGTGGGTGCGTAAGCGGGGACTGTTGAAGCACAACGGCGATTTTCAATACCCTTTTAAGTCCTCACCATACACTTCAGACAAACAGTTCATAGGCGACTGTCAACTGCAATCCAGTCAGGCAGTGCAAATTTCGTTTTATGACTCAATGCTTTACCTATAGCTGAAAGACCACGGCAGCTAGTCATCGAATCTCCGAAAAAGGGAAGGGTAATTTTCACAAATTCACTACACTTGTCAAGTGAGACTAAGTGAACAGCTGCACTTAAGTCCTGTATGTTTTCCTCATAAACACAACACACATCCATGGCTGGGGAGATGCCAAAGTACTGGCCAGCAAAGCTTGTTGTTCTATTGAAGGAGCGTGCGAACATTTAGAGCTGTAATATGTGTATTTCAGCAGAGTTTGGGGAAACCAGAAATGCTTTTTCGTAAACTGGGATCGATTTTTGAAACCTCAGAGCCGAAATAAATTCAAGATGACACAAGAATATTGAGCGAAAGGTTGAGGAAAGATAGAAAACAAGATCTTGAAGATCGATAATGCTTTGAGGGTACTTCAGTGCTGGAAGTCATGAGGGTGACAAACACTTACCGGCTCCCCACAGTGTGAGATACTATTTCTTGTTGACTTACCCCCTAAAGAAGTGTCAGTGAGTAACAAAGGTCATCGGATTGAGGTCACACATGGCCACTTTGGAAATCAGAGATTTCAGTTCGCTTGTTTCCAAAACGGACATTAACCCTTACCGCCTGCACTGGGAGACTGCGAGGTAGGTTAGAGTGCTGCTTTTAGGGTTGACCTTTCCAATGGACGGTTACCCTTGAGAAGGCAGGATCGGCTTAGCACTGACGATCATCTGCGCAAAACGCCTAACTGATATCCATTCTTGTTCAGTCAGCAGTACGACTTCGTCGTCCGTTCTCCATCACACAGTGCTAAGCTACATTATAACGGTACTTGCTTTTTGACTCAGCACCATCCAGCCTACTGTTCTGGTAGGCTAGAGCCACGACCAATGAGCGCTGTAACCATATTAGCCAAGTGAGTCACTGTGACATGCTAGTCTGAAAATCGAATCAATTTAGCATCTACAAGAAGAGTGAATGTGTCCACCTGCTCTCCGGAAGATGAAAGCAAACCACAGACGTTCATATCTTTGCCCTAAAACCTTGTCCAAAATCCGAAGATTCATAGATATCCGAAGCCTAAATGGGGTTAGCGAACAGCGAAATTCAGAAACATAGGCAGGTCTCAGACATGAAAGAGAGTGCGTCGGTCACATTTTCACCATCAGACACGTCCTGGAAAACTGAAACATCTACCGGCGACCGACACTTGCCATATTTGCTAACCTGAAGGTGACATTTGACTCTGCCGACCGTGGGGTATTGTTGCAGTGTCTGACTGTGAAGGGAGTACAAAGAAAGCACAGAATGCTTATCAAGATCTCTACTCGAACTCACACAGCCGTGTAACGGCCTATGGAGAGTTTCATCAGAAGTGATGACAACTCGTGATGTTAACCAGGAATGCCCACTGATGTCCTTCCTTCCTAGTTAATTCAGTTGTAGATGTACCACGAAAACATAACCTTAGGTACACCTAACCTCACAGGGATTCATTTGCTACCTGCAAGTCATCCGGTTGATTTGAAGTATGCAGACGATATCATTCTGCTAGGTGAACACGCTGACAAAATGCAGGAGCTTATGGGCGCGGTGAACAGAAATTTGATAGGTTTGACATGTGTTTCGTACCTGTCAAATGTAAGATGATGCTGCAGGACTGGTGTATTGCAAGTACTTTCAGTTTACTGATAGAGAGTTCTGGGTGACCAAGCCAAGACCTAGCACCAGTCAGCATAGTTTCTGACTGTTGGTCTGAGTCGTGTAATGAGATGTAAACTGCCTGGTTCGGATACTCGAGGGAAAAGGAATTAGTGATTGAGGACTCTTGGTGACATGGCTGAAATCGGTCACAATGGCATAGATGTATTCCCTCTCTGACATCTTGAATATTCACACTAATTAATATCTTCAGAGTGTTTTCTTATCTCCCACAACTTTGTCTACTCTTCTTCTTTCCACGCGTTCCTTGCATACTACTGTGAAGTGTGGCAACTTGAACTGATGCATCTGTGCATTGATTTTGTCTGTCAACGTCCTCGTTACTGAACCATAAAGACTTTTAACACAATTCGAGATAATAGTCAGTACCTTAGTGCACTGAAAACAAATATTCTGAAAAACGTCAAACTCAATTTATACTACATTTCTCTCAGCAAAAATATTCTACCCAAGTTGGGTAACATCTGCATACGATAAGCACATAATCCAAACTACTTCAGTCAATGTAACTTCAGTACCTCATTGAAGGATTTGCTTCCTTTATAGAAAGTGCTAAACGTTACTTCACTATTTGAGCTCCACTGTTATTCAATTAAATAGTGAGATGAGTGATCACAAATTATTTCGACTTTTATAATATTACACTTCAAGTATGAAGAAACAGATCCATTCATTCAGCCAAGCGTGAACAACTCAAAAAGTTTCCTTCACTGTAATCGTCACTGATGGGAAATAAATTTACTTATATGAGAGAGTATGTGAGGATATACACGAAAATTGATGCAATTTCAAAAAACGACATATTGTAGTAAATTTTATTTCATCATATATAAATTGAAGTCGGTGTAGCAATTAAGACAACCAACAAAAGGCACCATTTCACAAGGTAAAAAGTAAGTAAATGCAAATAGGCACTTGTTATCTAAGCAGAAAGGAAACGGGCAAAGCAAAATAAAGATTAGTATTACCAGTTATTGTTGTTTCAATCATATGTATTGGCCTTTGCAGTCAAAGATGGATCAACAGTAGAAGTTAAATAAAGTTTGAAAGACAATGAATGAGCGAAAACAAAATTCAGGAGATGAGTAAGTGGATCAAAACAATAGGCACGTTGGGAAATAAAGGAAACCATACTTAACAAAATCATAACTTCAATAAATAAGTAAACAAATTATAATAAGTAACTGCTTAGCTGGTTAGTAAATTCTGAATTTGTTAAGAAATGCCATCGACGCTGACCTAATGCAGTACAAAGGCAACATTCCGCTACCCTCATTCGAGATGATACTGATTCAGACATCATAGTGCTATACCAAGAAGAGATAGTAGCTGGAACAGTCAACGGACACACACCATCCAACTGGCAACATTCCTTTTGAACAAGTAGCTGTAAGGGATTATGCTTATACTCACTCTTATTACAACTATTTTGATTTCTCTGACGACATATTACCAGCAAAGTTAAAATATGCACATACGCACTAGACCCACCAAGGGCTAATAGTGTAAGATGCGTACAAACTTTAACCAGATCTTGTAAAACACTATCCAATCCCCTTGGATAATTATTGTCATTAGATTTATTTACCTGTCCGGTTGTACTAGATGGATTGAGTTCGGATGGTATGTGCTGAATAAAAAAAGGGATATCCAACATTAGCAAAATATTTTAAATATGCATTAGTGACGCACAATAAGATTAAAACATTTTCATAAATAATAGTATTAAATTGTAACTACTTGTGGATTCGCAACTTAATTAATGACCTGACAGAAGTAGGAAATATGGACGACTGGATTCCGAATCACTGGTTCAATGGTAACGTGCTGACCACGGAACCTGAAGGTTCCACTTTCGATCCACGGTGGGGTTATTGGTTTCCGTCGTTGAGGAGTCCCATACTAGAATGAAATAGCTATCCAGTACTCCCAGGTTTTCAAAGTTTCTCCACCTGACCTCAGTCCATGATGAATACCAACCTGAAATTAATGATCAAGAGCGAATGACTATGAACCGTACAGCTAGCTGGAAAGGATATATATTACTAAGTGAACCATTTCGTTTTGTGCATCAGCACAATATTTTTATTCCACAAAATGAAGATTTAGTTCAAAGCAAAATTCATAAAAATAGATGCGCGAGACAAGCAGGTTGACAACATCCTTCTTTAAAATCATCTACTGCTTAAAGAAACAAATCTCAATTCACACATCCTGTCTTACAGTAGTAGAAATTAGGGTTTTAACGGAAAAAGAAAAGCCTTTCAACTCTACTACACATAAATTCATGCACTCTAGTTCTGTCAATGGAAAAATGACTGTCGTGTGACCACATTGGAGCCGGAAAAATTACTTCAGACAACTAATTTTCACTTGAATATTTAAAACGCAGTTGATTTCTAATAAGACAAAGGATATAAACTTACTGAAATCTATTCGGTGTAACTCTTATCAGCAAACTGCTTCACGGGGAATTCCTAGAATAAATTCCATATTAGGTTTGTTTATTTGATTTATAACACAGTGATCTAGTATTATTCGCTTGATGACGTCATCAAGTAATAATACTGTATCACTGGGAGTTATAAATCAAACAAAACAAATCTAATATGTAATTAATTTCTACCACAGTGCCCAAGTTTTACACCTATATTCCTAAAATAAACACCATAACTAAGCTTTTATGGATATTGCCACATGATGATTTTTAACAGTTTTTATCTCATAACCAGATTCATTCGCAGAAAAAAGTAGGAATTAATGCGATTCATTAGCTGTATACGGCTTTGGAACTAGGTTATGAGTCATACCTCTCATGTGAAATACGTGATATTGCCTGATCGTCACAACCTCACCAGTGGGACAACTTTGACGTGTACATTTGACTAATCAAAGCTGGAATCCCTAATTTTTTATGATGCAGCTTCGTAGAACAGAATCAAAACATTTTCGTTTATACTCAACCGACAAATGATAAATGATAAAACTTAAGGAATATCATCAATACAGTACTATGATTAAAACAGTAAAAATGTCATAGTTGAACACTAAAAAATGAAATAGAAGTCTGATTTTATTTGTCGCTTCACAACATGAGTGACTAACTGACAAAATCAACGTAGAATCTCGTGCACAGGTGCAGAAAGATGATATCTTCATGGGATCCCACTAGGTCCACTACTAGCAGACCGCTTTATGGCCACTTTGAATAAAGGACCATGGAACTCAATGACTTGGGGTTTTCAACTGTATAAAATGTACATGGACGATACTCTTATTATATGTGATCATCAATATGATTTGAATCATGTTCTACAAATATTCCATTAACTGCCATTCAGCAAGTAGATTTATCCCTGAGGTCGAAAACCGATCGAAAACTCACTTTCTTGATGTAGAGCTGACAAGAACAGCTAAAGGAATGTTAAGTAGACCAACTCACACAAAACTAATGTGGAATGGTCAACTGACGAACTTTATTACCTGAGTCCCTATGAATCGTAAGCGTAACTTGATCATATTTCTTGCACTCGCACCAGACGAATCTGTAGTCCCGGATGTGTTAGAAGAGTGAATTTCAATTCTAAAGAATACCGTGATTGAAAACGGATTCCCATCACGCATCATCGACCACCATGCCAGAAAGATGATTCTGCCACTGAGACTCCAAAAAGGAGGGTACCTAAGGAGAACATTCTTTGCATCAAAGCTGAGACTAGTATTCTCTCGTCACCTAACAATTTCTAACAACTCAAAGGAGAAACTTTCACATCTGACCACTTCTATGTACATATGTCAATTCACCTGGTCTTGTGGAGCCACGTATATAGGCCGTTCCATGCGACTGTTATCCAAAAGAGTTGAAGAGCCCTATCCCGCGTGGTTACAAAGAGGGAACAATGGAGTGATGGGAAGCACTATATTTTCAACACATCGTGAACACGGATCACGCTATCAGAAGAACTTCTTCGTTCAAAGTCATCTATTGAGTAAAAAGAAACCTTCCAAAGGCTCTATGTCTTCGTGTTCTCTATATCGTAGAAGCTCCTGCCATCCATATGGAGACACCTGAACCGTGCACGCAAAAGAAGATTGTTCAACCCCTTCTCCTTTCATAGTCTCAGTTATTAGTCTTTGAGTTCTCCTCCACTTCATCCTTTTCTTTTCATTTTTCTGTTTTGACACCGTTCACTTCTTAAGTAATTTGCTACTCATTCCTGTTGCTATGCACTGCCTGATCACAATTCAGCTTCCAACTAGGTCATCACGTAACTGAATTTCTTGTCCAAACTTATTTGGAATAATATTCACTACTCATCAGTTTTTGGGTTTTGATATTAATGATAGCTGATTTATTGACACTCTTAACTATCAGAAAAATAAATAGATTTGCGACTCTAGAGCTTTGAAAATGAAATCGCCTAAAAAGGAGGCTTTGCTGAAGTACCTGTTCCTTTTTCATATCCTCACGGGTATATTTCACAGGTAAGAAACACTCTGAAGATATTAATTAGTGTGAATATTCAAGATGTCAGAGAGGGAATACATCTATGCCATTGTGACCGATTTTCAGCCATGTCACCAAGAGTCCTCAATCACTAATTCCTTTTCCCTCGAGTATCCGAACCAGGCAGTTTACATCTCATTACACGACTCAGACCAACAGTCAGAAACTATGCTGACTGGTGCTAGGTCTTGGCTTGGTCACCCAGAACTCTCTATCAGTAAACTGAAAGTACTTGCAATACACCAGTCCTGCAGCATCATCTTACATTTGACAGGTACGAAACACATGTCAAACCTATTCAAATTTCTGTTCACCGCGCCCATAAGCTCCTGCATTTTGTCAGCGTGTTCACCTAGCAGAATGATATCGTCTGCATACTTCAAATCAACCGGATGACTTGCAGGTAGCAAATGAATCCCTGTGAGGTTAGGTGTACCTAAGGTTATGTTTTCGTGGTACATCTACAACTGAATTAACTAGGAAGGAAGGACATCAGTGGGCATTCCTGGTTAACATCACGAGTTGTCATCACTTCTGATGACAACTCTCCATAGGCCGTTACACGGCTGTGTGAGTTCGAGTAGAGATCTTTGATAAGCATTCTGTGCTTTCTTTGTACTCCCTTCACAGTCAGACACTGCAACAATACCCCACGGTCGGCAGAGTCAAATGTCACCTTCAGGTTAGCAAATATGTTCCAGAATCTATAGAATATAGTCAGAAGACAAGGTGGAGACATTAATCGAAACTCTTAGAACAATACTTTCCAATAACGGATACCCTATAAGATTTATTGATAAGAATCTGAAGCAACCAACCACTCCCCATCCCATTACAGTCCGTAAGAAAATCTTAACCATGAATCTCGAAGTCAAAGGAGACACTACACCCGTAGTTCTTGGAAAATCACCTGTCAACGTGTATCAATAGTAACTTCTAGGCTGCTAAACTGAGACTGATATTCTTCAGCCGCCGTCTGATCAGTCAATGCGTGAAGGATAGGCTTCCACTTATGTCCACATCTATGTGTATTTACAAGTTCACATGCTCCTGTGGAGATGACTATATTCGACGTTTCAGCGGGCCCTTCGAAAACGTGTAGCTGAACATTACACGGTTCGGCTTACCAAAGGCGAACAAAAGGGAAACAACTTCATCCATATGTGAACACTGTCGAATTAGGTCATTCAGCACCTCAAGATTCATCCTTTAAAGTAATTTACAAAGTTAAATTGAACTACCCCAAAGGTTTACGTTTCCACCACTTATGCACAGTTGAAGCATTAGCTATGCATGAATAAAAACCGAAACTTTGCATTCAAAAATGTTTTGTGAAACCACTTTCTCTACCCTGGCCTTAACAATTCATTTTGTTGATTTTGTCAATTTCATTTCACTTCACTTTGGTATACTTCTCTTTTATTATCATCATTATCACCAATTTCACTTCATTGATAACATTTGACCTATATTTCACTGTTTAATATCAATTCATTCCTTATTCGTCGACCTATTTAGTATGTTTCAGCTAAATTATCGCCGTTTTAGAATTCTCTGACAGCACATGCCTCTTATCTCATCACTTGTTATCAGATATGGCAAGTGTCGGTAGCCGGTAGATGTGTCAGTTTTCCAGGACGTGTCTGATGGTGACAATGTGACCGACGCACTCTCGTTCATGTCTGAAACCTGCCTAGTTTTCTGGATTTTTGCTGTTCGCTAGCCCAATTTAGGCGTCGATTAACTATGGTCACTAGGATTCTGTACACAGTATTAGTCAAACTAAGTCATTTAAGGTCGTCGCATGAAGGTTTCTTCCACCCATTCTTACAGACTGGGATTATCAATTCAGGAGATCAGTCTGACTGCACTGTCTCTGGTTTCCATACAGTACCTAGTACCTCCATCGCTTCAATTAGCAATTTTCTACCAACATACTTGAGAACTTCATGTGGCAAACTTTCAGGTCAAGCTGCTTTGCGCTGTTCCCGGTTCCATAAAACATTCTCAACTTCAAGGAGATTTGAAGCATCAACACCTACGTCCCATTGCGGTTCAGGCTGAATATCTGACGACTGAAGGGTTGACTAGAGCCATTTGAATTGACCTTTAAAGAGTTGTAA